GGGCTGTGGGGGGCGGGGAGGTGCCGATCAACACCGCGCTTGCTGTGGGGTTCTTGCAGTGGCCCCTGTTGGTGGATGTTTTCTATGTCATAGAACCGTAGAATAGTTTCAGTTGTAAGAGACCTTGAAGATCATCGAGCCCGGCCTTTGTCCCAGCCCTGTCAGCCGGCTAAAAGATGCCCCCACGCAACATCCCCCCGTCTCTTGAACCCCTGCAGGGACCGTGACTGAGCCCTCTCTCTGGGCAGCCTGTTCCAGCGGCTCACAGCCCTCAGTAAAGAAATTCCTCCTGATATCTGACCCTTCTTCCCCCTTCCTTCCTGCGAGCTGACCTGCAACGCCTCTGCAGTTAAAGGGCCCTGTCTTCTTCCGTTCATTGATTTTATTGCAACTGGTTTTAGTTTTTCTGGGTTTATGCTTTGCTGTGATTTGGCTCTTTTGCAGCAAATGTGGAATCAAGAAAAAGACCACCTAAAGAAGTTCAATGAACTAATGGTTGCATACAGAGTTCGGCCTACTGTTTTGTTGCCTCTTTGGAACATAGCAGGGTTTCTTTTAGGTGAGTTTGTGGTATTACTACTACTATTGTTTTATCAAGTCTTCCCATGTGTAAATTACTTGTATTGCTTCGGGTTTCCTTGCTCACGTATGCTTGGTACCACAATTACAGGGGCTGGAAGTGCTTTACTTGGAAAGAAAGGGGCGATGGCTTGCACAGTGGCAGTGGAAGAGAGTATATCAGATCACTACAACAGGCAGATCCGAACTCTTGTGGAAGAAGATCCAGAAAAGTACAAAGAACTGTTGCAGGTATTTAACTATGACAATATATATACTGTGAGTATCTGAAGTAACCCAGCTGGTGCTGACCTGTGTACAAGGGAGATGCTATCCCTGAAAATCAAGACTCTAAACTGAGAGGGCACAAAATAAAGAGAAATTTTTTTAAACCTTTTTGTTCTGGTTGAAAAATCAGTAGGTTTTTTAAAGTATGCTAGAACAGACAAAAGCCCTGTTGGTCTATAGAGAAATACCCTTACTGATTATCTGGCAAGGCAGGGACCTTAATTTAATTATTTAAATTTACAAAACAATTCGTATGTGTGAAACTAGTTAGTGTTATGAGTTACTATGACTATAGATTTTCTTAAAGCAGTGAAAAACATAGTGATGTATTAAACAACAGCTTGATTTTTAAAGATATTTTTGAGATTATTAAAGAACTCCAGGGTTTGGGGAATGCTATAAATAATTTCCTTCTCAAAGACATGAACCTTCAAATCCAGTAAGAAGTTTTTGAGGGACTTGGGCCTCAGATGCCTGACCTTGTGCGTACAATGGTCAGCAGCTTATCGTTTTCTATACTACCTGCCTTGATTTCTCTGCCGAGTAGACTTACTAATTATCTGCTATTTTTAAAGATAATAAAGCAATTTCGGGATGATGAACAGGAGCACCATGACATTGGGCTGGAGCATGATGCAGAAGCGGTAAGTGCGGGGTTAGCCAGTGGGCACTGTTAACGAGGATGTAGATGTGATGTTCTTATCTTCTTTATTCAGTGACTTTGACATAGTACTTTATTTGAGAAATAGAAAATAAAGCACTTCTTTCTCAAAGATTTCCTAAGATAAATATAAGAAAACATTGTGTATTATGGGTCTAATTTTCTTCTAGAACAGAATTGAATCTGCTAGTACCGTGTCAACTGTTAAAGTGATTTGTATTTTCCTGAGGGGGGTCCTCTGCACAATTTCTAATTTTATTTTAAGTTTAGATTAAATATTTTCGAAGATCAGGCTAATAAATGCTGTCCATGCAGCTGGGAACTTGAGGCATCATCTTAGTAGACGAACACAACTGTGTTAGGAAGTGTGAAATACTGAACTCAGTTCTGTGCTCCACTGAATGCCATAGGAGGGATTTGTGACTTCTCTCTTTTTTCTCTTGCCTTGCATGGAGAAATGAAAACATTCTGTAAAGTTGATAAATTTTTATCTGTTTTTTTCTGAGTTAGGTTTTTTTCTGAGTTAGGGTGATGGTGGTTTTCCTTTGGTTTTGGTTTTGTTTTTTGGTTCAAACAAAACACTTAATTAGATGTATATAATCTTTTATTCTTTGTTTTACAGGCCCCAGCTTACTCGGTTTTGAAGACAGCCATACAACTAGGATGCAAAGCTGCAATATTCTTATCAGAAAGAATTTAGTGATATTTTCCGTAATGTTGTTGCAATAAACTGTGACACAAAAATGTATGGAAATTGTGGAAGACTAACGGTTATTTTATTCAGCCTTTTAAAGCTTTCTTCACTAAGCATCTGATCCAGCCATTCTTCATCACATTGAGTACGTGTTTGAAAAGTATCCCCGTTAAAGAGAGCTGAGCTAAATGGGAATAAAGATGGCAAAATTGAGTCTGTGTGAGCTAAACCTCCTTACTCGGAGAGTGTTCACAAGGTGGCAGCAAAATCTGTATGTATGTACATGATTTATATCTAAAATACGTGTGTGCACTTCAGGGTGAGTGAAGTACTAGTAAGTATTTCTTCTCAGTCTGTCTTGAATAAAAATTGGTATTGTAAGACTTTAATTTGAAGAGTTGTTGGTACTTGTTTGTTTTTTCAGGCTCAATTCTGAATTCTTTGTTTTGGAAGATTTTTTTTTTCTCCTGTTGGTTTTTTTTGCTGGTGTGGCTGGGTTTTTTTGGTTTTGTTGGTTTTTGTTTGGTTTTTTTTTGTCCTGAGCTTGTGTGTAAGGAGTTAGCCCCTGATATAAAGCAGAAGAGTGCAACTTGAAGCACCTGTGGAGTTGCATTTAATAGTGTTACAGCTTTCAAGTGTATCTTACTTTGCTTCTAGTGTTCAGTGGCTCTTCAGTAGAGATGATCTACTTTCTCCATGTTTGAACAATTTCCCCATGCTTTCTCCTGGCATCCTGCTGTGGAGCAGTAGAAGATAAGAAGACCAGATTGTGCATGTTTGTTCTGTTAAATGCTAATTGGAGATGATAAAATACAAGCACTGGAATTAGAACGTCTTAAACTGGTAGGTTTTACTAAAGGTACATCATGTTACGCAAACATTATCTTCCCTAATTTGACCAGGTCTCAACAAGAGTTATGTCTAGCAGATTTCTTATCTTAATTTTTGTAAAGCATTTGAAATACTGGCGTGTGGAAAATTCCTGGGTAATTTGGATAAGAGAGGACTTGGCACAAAAGAGTGGTTGGTTGAAGTGGCTAAAGTGGTAACAAATGGTGCTGAAAGAACACACAGTATAGCTGTGTAAGTCATAGACTTTAATAATTGAGTAAAAAGAGGAGGAAAGATTACTTGAACTGTAAAGTCTTTAATAACAAGAGTGTAATGGAATGGCATCTTTTATAAGTATTACTGGAGCTGGGGCAGGAGTGGCACAGTGTGTTTTGACTCAAAGCTGCAGGTTGCACACCCGTGTATACAGGAGTCGTATGATATAAACTGGAAACCAAGAAAGACAGTTTCCTTTTCTCTTGGCCATTACATCAGGACTGGATACTGGACAAGGCACCTGTGGTGGTTTCTTAGATAGATGGTACTTGGCTGGAGCCTGGCGTTCTCCAAGGCAGTGGTTCCAGAGGCTCTGAAGATGTCTGTGATGGTGTTCAACAGCTGTGGGCTTTGCTGCCAACACAGAGAAGTATTCATGTGAGCCTTTGTCAAAGATGTGGGTGGCCTCAGAGACCATCACACACTGCTTATTTGGGGCAACAATATTTAAGAGACAAATGTCACTTTTAATGTGTTTAATCTGGACAAAGATCGGGAACAAAAAAATATCAGGAAGTTGCCATGTGAGGTCAGTGTCTTTGGCCGTATCTGCAGTAACTGAAAGTGCTCACAGCGGGTTCTTTGTCCTCAGCAGCTGAAAACATCCTGCACATTTGAGTAGGCCATCAGGCAATAATACTTTCTCTAGCTGTGAGCATAAAATATGATTTGGGGAAACAACTCTGCTTTATGCTCCTGAGCAGGATTTGTTCCCTCTTTTTACTGGAGCAGCAAATTTACACTCGTCCATTAAAGTGTGGGTGAGCCGCTCTGCCACGTCCATTGAGTGTGCATTTCCTTGCTCACTGGCAGTTACTCTTTTCTTTTTGTTTTGTTTTTTTTACATAGAAAACTGAGTTACCTTTCATTTACTTCATGCAAAAGAGACTTTTTTTTTTGTTTAAAAACCTGTTTCAGATTTTGAAAGACTGCAAAAGGTTGTAGAAGGTTACAAAATATTAAAGGTGCTCAAGTGCTGTACGGAGCTTCTGTTGTACAGCTGCTGCAAGGGTCTAGTTTCTTTTTATGTGCTCTTTTCAGGCAGACTGATTTCAGCAAGCTTGGCAGAGGTTAATGGTTGGCAGAGGCCAAAGTATATAGCTTATACAAGTCAGTTATCATAGCGATTCTCTATGAACTCGGGTTGTGTGGACAGAGGAAAAGGAACTTTGATCAGACCAGGGGGTGTGAAATGCTGCATTTTCAAAACATGGGAGATGACAGGGTGTTCACTGTGCCTTTGGGGTTCTCTTCTGAACCTGAAGAAAAGCACATAACTTGGGTCTTGTTATATGCAGGGGGACAAAATCCTTCCCTCTAAAATAATGGTGTCTACTTCTAACTACTGTAGTAACCAAGGGCTTGATCCTGATTTTCTCTTCCAGAAGGAGAAAGAATGTCATGTTTTGGTGAGGAGGAGCAGATGTGTGTGTAGAGGGCATAGGGCTGTTATCTCTTCCTTCATCAGCATCTCACCTCTTGCTGTTTTCTCCTGCAGTCAGTGCAGGGGACAATCTCGCCCCTATTCTCTGTAGCTGCTCTGAATCAGAGATAAAGGCAATAATGGTGCTTAGAAGGTAGTGATGTGGCCAGATGCTGAGGTCCTTGTGCTGAACACTGGGGCTTTTTCTGATGCTCTGACAGCTCTGAAGCAGGATCTCTGCATTTACAGGCACCGCTGCTGGCTCAGGAGGAGGAAAACCCAGCAAAGGAAAGCAAATGGGCAAGAGGAGCCCTGTCTCTTGAACCGAAGATGGTTACAGAAATTCAAAGCAGCTCCAAAGAACTGTGGCCTGTCAGTAACAACTGTAGAAACCTACCAGGGTGGCAAGGAGCATGTGACACCATGGTGGTGGCGGTCTGGCTACGGCAGTTTGTGTTTCAGGCTCTTGCTGCCGCAGCAGGCTAGGCAAAAATCAAATCCCCCAGGCTGTGATGGATGTGGTGGTGCTGACATAAGCCGAATGAACTTGAGTTATGTAAAATGAGACTCATAAGGTTGTTTGGCAGAGAGCTAAAGCATTGTCTGAGATGATAAATACTACAGATGGAAGAAATATGAGATACAATGGGCTTGATCTTTGTCTGGAGCAAATTTGCATGGCTTACCTGAGCATAATAGAGCAAGGCTTGCATAGACTGACTGAGGATATGCTGTACAATTCCTATGCTGGTGGTGACATAGATTGTACCTTCCTGTTTTTCCTTAGTATTGAAAGAGTTACTTAATCTATGCACTCCTTTGTGTCTGCCTGTTTTCTTGAATTTAGGGAAGATACAATTTCAAATGGGTGCCAGCCACTACTTGTTGTGGGCTTTGAAGTTGTGGCATGTCACTTGCATCGTATTCTACACACGTTTTCAGCATGAGGAGCTTACAGGGATAAGTAAAATATATTGGCCAATTTGAAGGAGAAATGTGTGTGATAGTGGAAGAGGTTTGTGGGATTAAGGCAGCATTTTTCTGCTTGTTAATTCAATTTCCCCAGAGTTGCTGAGATGAAAAGTCTAAATAAATTTCCAGAGGAAAGTAAGAAAGAGATGCAACTAGTGACCACCTTGGTACTCTCACACTGTTTGTTCAGGCTCCAGCCTTCATACAAATGCCTGAAGCTGTCGTCTTTCCCTGCAGGTATTTTCTACCCAACTGTTTGCATGTCAGTGCTTGGGTCAGAGCGGAGGCAGCAGTGGGTGACAGGGATCTGGATTTTTCTAGTGGTGTGTTTTGCAGGCAAGCTCTGCCAGCTGCCTTTTACTAAGCTGTCATGATTTTCTCCCAAGTTTGTGGTTTGAGAGTAGCTGTATAGTCAGAGACTGCTGTGTATGCAAATGGCTGAAACATTTAGTGGCGTGAAAAGCATTTGCTTCTAGAAGACGCTAAGGCGGATGACTCAGTCATATTGGTCTTTGCTGTCTCTGGATTAAAGTGTATTTCCTCTTTAAACAGTAGTCTATGTCTAATTTAAAGCTATCTGTCACCTTGATGATAGTTTCCTGCCTTCTGCGAGAGCAGAGATGTGCTCCGGAGCTGGCACCCAGCTTCAGAGGGAGGGAACCACCCACGACTTGCTTTCCCAGGACTAGTGCCTGAGTGCCAAAGTGCAGCTGTCTGAGCGTATGGGCCCAAGTCCCCACGTGCTGACCTGACGGCTGTGGATGCCGAGGCAGGTGCAGCAGACTCCTGCTCTTCTCTGTTGTGTTCTGTAAACATCTCTCCTCTACTAGCCTGCAGCATTCCCATGAGAAAGGTTTTGCTTTAGGGATGGATTAAGAGGAGGCTGTCAGGTACAGGTCTACTAGAGATGTAAGTTTATGCTTAGCTCTAAGCCCTGGAGCAATGAGGATAATTGAATGCTCCAGGCTAAACTTGTTCTGGGGCTTTAGCGACTTGCCTGTGGCTACCTAGCAAGCCTGCGGCAGAAATACTCTGGAAATACAATTTGAGAGGAGTTGAACCTCCTGAGTGTCTGCAGTAACTGTACAGCACTCCTGGTATCTGGAGACTTTGCTTTTAAGTGGTTTTTGGGGTGGTTTTTTTTGTTGGTTTTTTGTTTTTTTTTTTTAATTGAGCAAAAGACCAGCAGCAGGACTTAAGAATCACTGGTGAGATTGTTACAAGTATAGCTTAATGGCTCAGTTCCAGTCCTGACCTGGAAAACTAACGGCTAGTGGTGGAGCTGTCTTTTGACATCTTCTATTGTCAGCCCCTTGTTGTTTGACAGGAAAAATGCAGTTTACCTGAAGACTTCAAAGGTGGCTGAAATGTGAATTATTTATTTATTAATATAACAAGTGCTGCCTTTTCAATTTTTCCCACTCCAATATCACAGCAATACTTGCTAATGAGAAATAATTAGATCTTGATTTTAAGTGACACAAGTGCTATTGTTTACACAAAA